CCCATTTTACAGCTGAGGACACTGAGGCTTAGAGATAGTAGATTTGAACCCAGAGTCAGGGCCCTTAACCACTCTGCTACACTGCTCAGTGCAAACATAAATAAGATGAAATTATGCACTGCAGTGACTGTCACAGAGGTGAGGCACACAGGAGGTAAGAGCCCAGGACAGGTGGCTCTGGACAGGTGGAAGGGGTCGAGGAAACTTCCAGAGCTGAAACCTGAAGGCAGGGAAGACGAGGCGTGGGGAAGAGAGTTCCCAGCAGAGGAAATGGCACGTGCAGAGTCCCTGCAATGGGGATCTGCAGCTGGGGCAGGTGCAGGGGCTGAGGCTGGGGGGGTCAGTCCCACAGCACCCCGTAGACCACAGCAAAAGTGAGCTTTGTCCAAAGAGCAACAGGGAGACCCCGAAGGAGCAGGAGGGAGAAGCAACGTGATCTAAAAACATCCCCCAACTGCCGCATGGAAATCAGACTGCAGAGGTGGGAGCGGAGTCCGGGAGGGCGACTGTAGACCGTGGAGTTGTCCAAGCTGGAGACGATGGTGTCTGGACAAGGACGGTGACAGCAGGGAAGGGGAGGAGGGACAGAGTTATGACACGTCTCAGAAGTAAATGGATAGACACACTGATAGAGGGGTGAGGTGTCAAAACGTTGGGCTCCCCAGAAGTTTAAGACCAACCTGGGCAACACAGTGAGACCTCGTCTATACAAAAATTTAAAAAAATTAGCCGGTATAGAGGCACACGTCTGTAGTCCCTGATGCTTAAGAGGCTGAGGTGAGAGGATTGCCTGAGTCCAGGAGGTCATGGCTGTGGTGAGTTGCGATCATACCACTGCACTCCAGCCTGGGCGACAGAATGAGACCCTGACTCGACGGACGGATGGACGGACGGAAGAGAAAGGAAAGAAGTGTGGGGTTCTAAGCTGAGAGCTGAGAGTTTGTGGCCCTGAGGGAAATGTCTCCACATTCAGACCCAAAAATCCACCAAGGAGTGGGGGCACCATGCTGCTGGGATGGGAGAATGGACTTCTGGCACGTGAGGTCAAAAAAATTTCCTGGACACCATGATCTCCCCAGCCTAGAAGCAACTCTCCTTTCGCCTCTTCCAGAATCTTGAGTTTCTGCTGTTAATGCACAGTTCTAGCTGCCACCAGGGGAAAGTGTTGGTCTTTGAGGGGCCCCTGAGGGAAAGCAGATGATGACAGCAACTGTCTTAGGGCCAGACAGTTGGACTGGAGTGGGGCGGAAGCGAGGAAACAGCAGGAAGGTCCTGGATGAGGAAGCAGGGAGGCACCTTCCTCGCATCCGGCAGCTCACGTGCCTGGAGAGACAGGGTCCAAAGGGAACGACTCGATGTCTAGGGGTGACAAAATTGTTAACACAGAATCGGGAAGTCCAGGTGTCCCGGGCTCTTGGAACTCTAGAATTCTAGGGCTTCCAGTTAAAATGCAGGCTCAGCTGATCCAGGAAGTTGGCACCTTCCGCCAAAGACACAGCGATGGTAGATTTAGATGTTTAAAAATAAACACTTCCAAAACAAGAAAGAAAAATCCAGAGTCAGACATGAGCAGGAGCAGAGCCACGTGGCTTGTGGAAGTCAGTGAAGTCAGTGGTCTGAGGAAGGGGACAGGACCAGTACATAGTGAGGAGCTGGAAACTTACTGTTCAGGAAAAGAGAATGCCGTTTCTCTTTCTCTCTTTTCTTTCTTTTATAATTTAAAAAATTTTACACTTTTAAAATTTATTTTCATCCGAGCTTGGTGGTTCAGCCTGTAATCCCAGCACTTTGGGAGGCTGAGGCGAGTGGACTGCCTGAGCCTAGGGGTTCGAGACCAGTCCGGGCAACTTGGCGAGACAATACATCTACAATAATAATAAGTGTCTACAATAAATCAAAACTTAGCCGCATGTGGTAGTGCACACCTGTAGTCCTGGCTTCTTGGAAGGCTGAGGTGGAAGGATAGCCAGAACCCAGCTGGTCAACACTGGAGTGGCCATAAGTATGCCACTGTACTCCAGCCTGGGTGATGGAGTGAGACTCCAACTCAAAAAAAAAAAAATTTTGTTTCTTGGTTAGGTCAGTGGCCCAGAGAGTGCTGTCTCAAAGCGGGAAGCTGGGGGAGTGTGGTCTCATTGCTGAATGGGGATCAAAAAACATACACCCACCAACACAGGTGGAGAAGGAAACCACCAGGAACAGAACAGGTGAGGGAAATCACGTGTGACCACCGAGAATCCTTAACTCAACCTCTGCATGTGTGCGGGGCCAGAATCTGCCCTCCGCAATAGTGAAGAGATACTGAGCTGAGAAACAGGTCCAAACTAATCTGGAACTGGTGGAGCACAATGGCTCCAATAAAGACATGTGAAAAACTACTTCCGAGATGCTTCCACAACACAAAGCACAGCTGGAGTTCCTGGGGCAGGGACCACTGTTGGAAGCAAGTGCAATGAGATGAAAAAAATCCACCTGCCCACAGACCCACACCTGTCCACGTAGGTGAATCCACACCCAGGCAACTAGAAATAATAGACAAATCAAATCAAACTTTAGATGAGTCTGTTTAAAATGTGCAGAGAAATGATAAAATAGAAAAGCACAATACATTAAGACCATGAAAATCTGAAACACAGAGAAACTGTAAGAACAAAAGATGTAGAAATCGAAATACAATATCTATAAAAAGGAATAAACAGAACAAATAGAGCCAAGGAGAGAATTAGTAAATGGGACGACAGATTAAGGAGAAAAGTTAGCATAAAGTGCCGAGAAAAAATGAAAGACAAGTTAAGCAAAGTGGAGGGTAGAGTACACAGACGACAAGTGTCTGATACAACCTACAGAAGTCCAGAAGAAGACAATAAGAGGGAATCAATATTTAAAACATAATAATTAGGCAGCCCTGAGTATGTGGTAAACTAAACAGTCAACCATCATTTAAGAGCTGAGGTGACATAATGACATTTTCAGAACACAAAGCCTAAAAGAGTTGACCTCCCAAATACCCTCAGTGAAAGAACAACTTAAAGGATAAACTCCGAATAAAAAATGGGGATACAAGAAGCAATGGTGAGCAAAGAAACTGTCCAAATATTCCAATAAAACCTCACAATCGTGAATTTTGAGCAATTTATAAACAAGTTGGGAGTTGAGAAGAGAGGGTCTGGAGGGAAGCAGAAGCATTCTGTGGTCAAGAGGTGGGCAAAGGTATTCATTAGAACTTATTAGAAAAACTAAGTTAAGAAGAGATGTTAAAATTTTCAGGTTTTTGTTTTTGTTTTTTTCAAGTCAGTGTGGCAGTGTATCTGTACAATGGAATATTATTCAGTCACAAAAAGGAATGAAATACCTACACATCCCACAACATTAAGTGAAAAAAAACCCAACAAAGGCTATATATTGTATATAACCTTTCCACTTTCATGAGCTATTTAAAATAGGCAAATCTATAGAGACAGAGCAGATGCTGGCTGCCAGATGAGAGGTGTAGTACTGGGAGATACAGGGTTTCATTTTGGGGTGTCAGAAATGATCCGGAATTAGATCGTGCTGATAGCTGTACAACATTATGAATATGTCAAAAACCACTAGATTGTACACTTTAAACTGGTTAAAGTGATGATACATTTTATATTTAAATTTTATTTTGATAAACAAAAATTTTAAGTCTGCATCATTAAAAATGCACAGGACTAAAATTAAGGGGGTCTTAAGAGACATAATAAGCAGCATGAATTAGACAAACCAAGTGTAAAGGGCAGTCTGGGTGCAACGAGGAAATCCAAATATGATCTTGGTACTAGAAGAGATTAAAGTATATTGAAAGGGGAAAATGAAGTAGCTGACTGAAAAAGCAGATTACAAAACAGTATGAACATTATGATCTTGTTATCTTTAAAAATACATATGAACTGAAGCAGTAACAATGGTGATCTATGAGTGGTGGGAACATTGTGTTCTTATGTTTTATTTTGACTTATTTTGCTTTTGATTGTAACTTGCTCGCCTAATTTTGCACCATACACATATATCACTTCTGTAATAATAAAACACTTTATATGTAAAAATTGAATGTTGGAAGAAAAACAAATGAATTAAGGATAATCACTAAAAGAAATACAAATAAAATTTAAAATCTCCAAACTGAAGGTTGTAGAGAGAGTGAACAAGAATAAAACATTTCTCAATATAAAGAAAGGAAACATGGATGATCAGAAGATGTATAAAGAAAACAGTTATCTTGTCATTAAAGGAGTATACATTATGTGCCAGAATGACATTTATTATTTATTTAAATTTTTGAAGGGTCGAAGTCTCATTATGTTGCCCAGGCTGATTTTGAACTCCTGGCCTCAAGTAATCCTCCCACCTTGGCTTCCCAAGGTGCCTGGATTACAGGCATGAGCTACCATGCCTTGTCCCTTACGTTTAATTGTATTAGTAATTGCATTAAATATAAATAGGCTAAACTTGTCTTTAATAAAAAAGAATCAGCAGTATACAGTATACAACAGACACACAAAACAATGATATGGTAAATTTGAAAAAAGAGAGGCAAATAATCACGAAAATAAAGTTGATAAAGAATATTATCATAGGACAAAATGGAGCTTAACTTAAGGTAGACAGCACATAGGGAAATAAAAACTCGTGGGATGCAGCCAAAGCAGTGCTTAAAGGTAAATTCATAGCTTTAAAAATGCACTATGTTAGAAAACAAGAAAAACTGACAACTAAATAGCTAAGAAACCCGGAAAAATAACATCGCTTACACATAAATAAAGCAGAAAGAAGGGAAAATCAAAGCTAAATACAGAAATGAAAAACAGAAAATAATGAACAAAACCCAAAACTCTGAGGAACCTGGTAATTGGCAGGACTGATAGATAATTCAATAATATTAGGAATAGAAAGAGGACAAAAGCACAGATAAAGCGGAGGTTTAAGTGAAATCAAACTGCTTTCAGAGAAGGAGCTTGGGCTGGGACTTAGCGGGATGCTCCTGGACCCTCCTGGGCAGCCTGTCCCATCCATAGGCAATGCTGACTTCACCCTGAGCTGCACCCGCCTCGGGCCTCCAGCAGCCCTGCCTCTCCTGGGTTGTCACTGATGTAGACACCCACATGCTTCCACAGGGCATGCTCACAACCACGTTCACATATCACATGTCTGTAGACACCAAAACTATCCCTGTGCACCTAAATGTGCACACTCAGACGCACGTGTTGCGAAGACACACTCTGCATCTGTGTGTGCATGAGCATGCTCACATGACATGTACACATACTTCCCAGCGCACACACGATGCTGGCAAACATATTCCACAAAGCTCTTGATGACACTTGTATGTGAGGGTGCCAGGTGAGTGCATGCATACACATCACACGTGAGCGTGGTCCAGCCACACGCTTGCCTCCCAAGCACACCCCTTGCCCCCGAGCGCCAGGGCCTGGGTGCCCCCCAGATCTGCCGGGCAGTGGCCATACCTCCAGCTCCCTCAGCAGCTCTGACTGACCACATGACTCCAGGTCTTCGAGGGCTTCCCCGAACACACGCCAGAAGCCCTCCTCTTGGGCAGGGTCAGGGGCTGGGCTGCAACGTAGGAACCAGAGAGCGTCAACTCCTGGCAGGCGGGTGGGCGGGCGAGCGGGCAGGGGCCTGAGGAGTCTTCGGGGCTCCAGGGCCCAGCGCTGGGCCCAAGGGGCCATAGGGTGGGCGGGCAGGCAGGCGGGTGTCCTCGGTGGTGGTTCTGGGGCCCCGGGGCAGTGGTTGGTGACACGGAATGGGGGAAGACGCAGTTAGGGGCGACCAGGACTGTCGGTGGCCAGCTAGAACAGGGGCAGATGAGACGGGGTGGAGAGCGGTGACACGGGATGCCTGGGGAAAGAGACAGACGGACGGACAGACGGACAGACAGACAGACAGACAGAGAGATCCGTGGTGTAGGCCCGGAGGACGGCTCCCGGCCCCACCCAGACATCAGGCACTTGGGACAGTGACAGGGACAGAGCTGGAGCCAGCAAGGACACAGATGGATGAAGAGGATGGAAGAGTTCAGCAGGGGAGGGGCCGAGACCACCGTGACCTCCATCCCAGCTCGCAGGGGCCCGCGGTCGCCCGCAGAGAGCCGCGGAAAGGCCACCCTTCTCGAAGCCATTGCCGCCTTTGGAGTCCCCGGCGGGTGCCACGCTGGCTGGGGCTTGCCCAGAACGTGCTCCTCCCCAAAGGCCCCAGGCTCCACTGGCTCAGAGAGCCCCGGGGAGGGGGGTCGGTCCCTGCCCTCCCTCCCCACTTTCTAGATGAGAGAACTGAGGCTGGAGGCCTCTGCCCCACTCAAGCCAAGGTGACAAACCCTCCCCGGGCCAAGCCCTCTTCTGGGTGCAGGAATGTGGAAGGGGAGCAGGGTGGGGGTGGGCCCGGCCCCAAGGAGCTGAGGGTCGCTCTCAAAACAGAACCGAGCACCTGCCAGGGACAGGCTAGGAGACAGGGGAGCCTCGTGGCACCGACAACAGCCAAGTAACCAACCAGGCGGACCCAAGGTGACTGGTGGCACCAGGGAGCAGCCATGGGCTCCAGAGGAGGCAGGGAGGAGTCCCCTCTGCCTGAGGAAGCCAGGGACGCGAGCTGATTTTGAGGGATGAGTAGGCGTTTGCCAGGAGAGATGGAGGAAAAGGCATTCTAGGTGGAAGGAGCCACCTGCTCAAAGGCACCGAGATGGGCGGTGGCAGGAGCCCGGTGAGGAAGGCGGTTCTCCACAGCTGCCCCTGCAGCAGCTGTCTCCTGGGGCTGTTGTTCTAGCCAGCACCAGCAGTCCAGGGTGGGGCCATCAAGCAATCTGGGCTGAGCCAGGGTTGTCTGGGCTCACGGTCTGTGTCACTGCACTTCTAAGAACAGGCAATAACCAGACTTGGGCAGGGCAAGTCAGGCTGCCTTCCCGTGTCCATGCCTTTGCCTCATTCCCTCTGCCAGCATACCCTTCCCCAGCTCAGCCAGATTTGGGGTGGCATAAAGAGAAGCATAAAGTCTAGCCTCTGGGAGGGTCTTGTCCTAGTGCTCCCTCACTGGGAGGCGGTCTTCCCTCCATCCCTGCCACATTGGCCCAGGGACGAGATCCTCACCCGCCCCAGCCACGAGACCATGACGGCCTCCTCCTGCATGGTGCTCCCCACAGACCTAGTTGGCAGCTCCCACTCCTCTTCCTCCTCCTCCTCCTCTTCTGGAAAACTCTCGTCAGCAGAGGCTGGGGTGCAGCTCGTCCTCCGGGGTTCAGTGGGTGGGGAGCTGCCCCTCAGCCGGCCAGGCCACCACTCCTGGGGGGTCATGCTCCGGGGGGCTGCCTGTGGCATGTAGGAACCTGGTGGTGGAGAGGGCGCACTTGGGTTCCATGCCCTCACCTTGTCCTCCTTCCCGCTCTGGTTCTGGTTGTGCTAGGTGACCCTGAGATGGGTCTTTGCTCCTCCCTGGGCCCGCACGAGTGCCCCGAGACCTACACCCAGAAGAAAGGGAATACCCAGGGCCCTGGGACTCTGTCCGGCTCCACTGGGCTGGGCTTGGACACCTCCCTGCCCATTTCCACCCTCAGCGAGTGAGCTGGAAATGGGCAGCTCAGCGGGTGAGCGAGGAGCTCCGGATGGGGAGGTGAGACCCAGAGAGGGCAGGCGTCCGGCGAGTGAAGACCACAGCCCGGAGCTCCCCGTGGCTCCCTGCAGGCCTCCCCTGGCTGGTTCCCTGAGCTAGGCCCTGGGGGGCGCCAAGACCAGGAGGGGATGTGTCCCCTGAGGCCAGCTGTGGGTTTCAACGGGCACAGGGAGGGAAGGGCGCCTGGAGTGTGTCCGCCCAAGCTGGGTCTTGTGGGACGGGGTGGGAGTGGGCTTTTGGCCTTCCTGTTGTCAACTGGTTGGAATAAACACCTACTGCGCACCGTGTACTCGATATCAGGCTAGCAGTGAGGGAAATAGCAGAAAAAAAGCCCAACTTGCTTCCTGTTTCCGGGCGGGGCAGTGTGAATGGCCAGGTTGGGCTGGGGTCTCACCGAGACAGGGGCCGCCGCTGCGCCCCCAGGAGCCAGGGCCCTGAGTCTAGCACATGGAGCCCAGCCGGGCCTGCCTTCAAGCATGTCCCAGAGGGTGGCACCACAGTGGGAGGGGAGCAGGCAGTGGGGCAGCCTCTCCGGAGGCCTGGCAGCTGGGGCGACCCCAGAGAGATGGCGCCCATCCAAGGTCCCTGGGGTTACCTGGGCCCCTGAAGCCGCCGTCCGTGGCTGCGCTGTCCCAGGACTCCACAGCACTGTCCACACTGGGCACAGCTGGCGAGAGCCGGGCCGGCAGAGGGCCTCCTCTGGGGGCCTCGGGCGGGCCCTCGTCCCCATCACTGGCCTCGCTGAGGCTGCCCGACTTGCGGGCTGGGAGAGGGCCTGGGAGAGGAAGGGGTATCCCTCGTGACTTCAGAGACACGCCGCGAGCCTCAGTTTCCCCATTTCAGCCTGGTCTGGGAGCTCCTGGGCAGCGAGTCCCTGCTGAGCCTACTGCTGACATGTGGGAACAGTGCGCTCGTAAGCAAGCCTGCTTCACACATGGGAAAACAGAGGCGTGGGGAAGCTGAGTGACGCCCAAGTCACACGGCGAGCAGCAGTGCAGCCCAGAGGAGAAGGAAGACCCCCAACTCAGGCCCCTTCCACCACACATGCTGCCCTCACTACCAAGGCATGGGGAAACGGAGGTCACAAAGCACCCACGCGAGCACCTTGAGGGGCAGGGGGTCATGAGAACACGGCTCAGGCCCAGAGTCCACCCACACCCACTGTGGACCTCAGCTGTCCCGGGCCACACCCCCCATCCCCCTGATCCCGTCTCCGTGGGCTGTAGCAAGGATGCTGGGAGGTGGCCTGTGCCAAGCCACAGAGACACAGAGGGGCTGCCTTTCCTATGCGGGCCGGGTGGCCGCGGGGCATGGAGCCAGGCTCACGGTCCAGCTGCTTCCTGATCTTCAGGGTGACAGTCTCTCCGGCCACCTGCAGGAGGTGGATGGCCTCGCTCAGCGGCCGGCCCTTGAGGCTAACGCTGTTGATGGCCAAGATGCGGTCCCCCACGTGGATGGCACCGGTCCTGAGGAGGCAGCACAGGATGGGAATTAGACACTCGGGACTTCTGAGTTGGGGAGGTGTCTGCCCCCGGGGAGCCCCAAGGCACAAGCTAAACCCAGCTGCCAAACAAACAAAAAAAACTACAAGTGTGATCTCGGGTTGCATAATAGAGGTATAAAGTCTAGAATCTAGGAGGGTACTGTCCCACCAGACTCTAAAATTAGGTTCTGGACCCAGTGTTCAGCAGCAAAGTATTTTGTTTGGGTTTTTTTTTTTTGTTTTTTTGGAGTCTCACTCTGTCGCCCAGACTGGAGTGCAGTGGCCGCTCCCGGCCACCGCAGCCTCGACCTGCTGGGCTCCGGCGATCCTTCCACCTCAGCCTTCCAGGTAGCCGGAATTACAGGCATGCACTACCACGCCCGGCGAATTTTTGATTTCTTGTAGAGATGAGGTCTCGCCAAGTTGCCCAGGTGGGTCTCGAACCCGCGGGCTCAGGCAATCCACTCACCTCGGCCTCCCAAGGTGCAGAATTACAGGCTGAGCCACCGAGCCTGGCTAGCAAAGTTTTGAGAATGGTTTAAATCACATAGTGGCTGTCAAATGTGTACTATGTGATCTTGGGCCAGTTTCTTTTTAAAAATTTTTTATTTTAAATATGTGGGGCACGATTCAGGGTTAGGTGTACAAATGTTCATTATGCGGGTCCTTGCCAGTGTCTTAAATCCCCTGAGTTTCAGTTCCTTCATCTGTAAAATGGGGGCATAACACTTATTTTGTCATCAAGTTATAACTGAGGGATGAATGAGTGGTTGGGTTACTGCCTCTCCCCAACAGAAGCCCTTGGTAGCCTCTGCCTCTTCCCGGACCTCAGTCTCCCCACCTGGAAAACAACCCCAGTCACCAGGGCCCAGCTGATCTCACGAAGAGGCACGAAGGGTGCCAAGGCCAGGTGACACTGCTCTGGCCCGGGGCTTTTCTCCCTGGACAGCCACTGCGGTGACTCGCGCAGCTTTTTAACAACTAGCTGGCGTCCCGGGGTGGGGCTGGGTGATCCTGACCTGGCGGGGGAGAGGAGGCCGAGGACTGGGCCGGGGCCTTGAAGCCCAAGGCAGATGCCACCCCAGGTGGGAGCTCCCAGACATTCCGGGGAGCCAGGGCCGGGAGGAAGTCAGGGAGGGACCAGCGCTATGCTGTCCAGGTGGAGGCCACCAGGTCCACCACCGGGGCCACGGGGCGCAAAACGTGGCCGCGCTGAGATGTGCTGGGAGCAGAGCACACCCCTCCTCTGAAGGCACAGCCCAGAAAGACGTTGGAAAGCAATGAATCCGTTTGACAGTCATCGCGTGTACAAGTAAATATCTACTTAAGGTGAAAACTTTTTTCTTTTC